AAATGTTTTTTATTTGCTGCGAGGAGGAGGAGGAGGAGGAGGAGGAGGAGGAGGAGGAGAGGAGGAAGGGGAGAGAGGGATTTATGGACTGAGACAGAGAGGGGTTCCTTGGTAGGAGTCAAAATTCAAGGCTGGAACAACTGGTGACTTGTCAACAGCACACCATGAAATCGTCACAGCACCACATAAATGCGGACAGACCCAGGCTGTTTACAGGGAGCTGATGGCCCGCCTGAGTTTAGTGGCCAGTGCCAGAGACCCCTCACTCAGTGGTGCTGTGGATTAGGTTCTCAAATGAGAAGCTCTTTGACGCAAACAAAAAGCTGCTGTCTGTCTTCAAACAAATGGACTCCCTGAAAAGATTGGGAAGGAGGAATTCTCTCTATTTAGCTAATGGGATGGGATGTGTCCAGAGCACCATTTGTCATTTCTTTTTCCCCCGCAGTTAACGACCCCAAACCTTTCGCTAGGCCCTGATCCAAGACCACCACACCACCCAGAACAGCGGGACATGAAAACCATAGACTTTAGTCTGCTCCAAGTCTGTAATTAAAAAAAAAAAAAAAAAGCAGCTGCCAGTTCAGAATCGTTAGATTCTGGCGAACCTCTGGTGCACCCCTCCTAAGCACTCCCATGGGGCAGAGACAGACCCCTGTCTCCTGGCCGCAGCTCTGGCTCCCCAGGCACCTTTCTCCCCCAAAGCTCCACTTTTCTAATTATTAGAAAGTTCCTTCCGCCAGGAATCTATGCGCTCCACTGGCTAAAGAGTTGAGGAATGGAGGTATCCTGGATTTGGCCCAGGGCAGGGCATATCTTGGGGGCAGGAGCGTCCGTGTCCCAGCAGGAGGGGATCGTCGGGAGGACAGCTCTCTTCCAGCCACCCGCCCGTCCTCCCAACCCCTCATCCCCTCATCCTCCCAGCTCCTGGTCCCACTCCCTCAGAGTTAAGCCTGGGATTGCACGCGCCCCAGTGACCAGAGCCCTGTCCCCGTAGCTCGCTCGCGACGCCCCTCCCCTCCGGGCCCGCACTCACCCACCGCCCTGATGCGGAAGCCGCGGGGTGGGCGCAGCGCCCGGCGACACCAGGCGTCGCGCAGCACCTGCAGGCTGGCGGGAGGTGCGTGCACCAGCAGCACCCCGCGCCGCAGCCAGCCCTGGAAGGCCAGCCGCGAGGCGGCGCGCGCCAGCCGCGAGTTCCAGAAGCAGCGCGCGTTGGCGCGGCGGAAGGCGCGGAACACGGCGCGCCCGCCGGGCTCCTCCGCGCCCCCGACCGCTCCCGGCGCCTCCAGCCGGCTTAGTACCAGCGCCAGCGAGCTGGGCGCCAGCTGCACGGGCCGGGCCATGCTGGTCAGGGGGCCGGGGCCCGCAGCCGAGCGCATCAGCGAGTGCGGCGGCCGCGCAGCACTGGCGGCTGGGGCGCCGCACGCCCGACGGGAGGGATCGGCTTACTGCGCGCCGCGCCGGCTGCCGGGGAAACGGGGCTTCAGGGGGCGGGGTCGGCTGTGGTCGGCAGGGCAGGGGGTGGGGCGGGAAGCGTGGCCTGGGGCTGGCCGCTGCTCTCACCGGCGAGGCGCCCAATAGGGGTTTCCTAGGGCTGAGTTACAGGTCACTCTCCACACCCCAGCCCGGGCTCTGCCCGCCCCGCCCCGCCCCGCCCAGGGCGATTCCCTTCACTTCTCAGCTCCCTGGCAGTCCGGACCTCCCCTTGCCCGGATGCGCCCGCACTGGGCGTTTTCCAAGTCCTAGGGGTGTCCCCGCAGTCCCCGGAGAGCCGAGCCGCCTCCAGCCGCAGTGCCAACACCAGGGTTCCCCAAAGCCGGGAGGACCAGGGTGGCCGCCGATGCCCTGGCTTTGTGGTAGCTCCCAGTGAGAGAGGCCACTAGGGACGGTCTAGGGTATCATGGACCTCTCTTGGGCCGGGAGTCCCAGATTTGAGTATCGATCTGCTCCTAATGAGTTTACGTAATTTATTTCCCCTCTCTCTGAGCCTAAGTCTGTAAAATGAGGAGTTGGGACTATATTCTAAGGACTTTCTCGTCCACGGCTTTCTAAGGTCCTAGAATCTGGTCCCGCCCCTTGGGACACTTAAGTGGTAAGAGACATAAAGTATTCATTCCAGAGGTACCAACCCGTTTGGGAAGGCGCCCTGATGAAATCCATGGGATTCAGCCCTGGGTTGGATCTGGGAATCCGAAAAGATTGAGGCACCAACCTGCCACAGGAGTGAAGGGAGAGGTGTTTGTGATGTGTCACAGCACTGTAGCCAGTGCCTCAGCACCCAGGAACACACAGTTCAGATGCTGAGTGACAGAGAGGATGGAACCCTGCTTGGGATACTGCAACTGAGAGCTCCTGGAGGAGGAAGAAACTGGGAAAGGAGAACAAGGGCATTACTACTACTAGAAATTGGCAGTGTAAGAGGGAACTTGCCAACGGTGCTTGGCAAGACCTACGGATCATTCCAGACTTCCCACACCCTCACCTCATCCATCATCAATAACAACTATAATAAACTGAGCTAATCTACACCCTGCCTCCTAGTAAGGCATTATCACAATAAATGATAGCTTATGCTATTAAATAACAATAGTTAACATTTATTGAGCACTGTGTACTGGGGCATTAATTTCACAACTCTGTATTAACTACTGTTAGCATCTATATATATATATATATATTTAAAGATTTTATTGGAATTGGGGGAGGGGAACAGCATTGGGGAATCAGGGAGGGGGAACAGACAAGTCGCTGTCCTTTTGTTTTTCAGTCTAGTTGTGGAGGACATCACTTCTCTGGTCCATATTGGTGTTATCCTTGAGCTCTTCCGGGGTGAGGCAGTCGCTGGCAGGCCATTGGATGGCCGCTTACTGCACCTCACGAAAGCGCATGCCAGCTGCTGCCCAGACCCACTGCAGCCTATGCCGTCGCCAGCGACTCATGGCAGCCCAGCTCCAGGTCGAGTTGTTGTTCACCATCTTAGCTATAGAGGGCGCAGTGTCACTGGCCCTTCATGTGGGATCCGAACCGGGGCCCTGCTGCTCAGAGCTGGCATCCCAAGCCAACTCTTAACCAGCGCGCCACTCAGCCTACCCGACGGAATGAATTTATAGTTGCTACATTATAATTGCTCTAAAAGGTACACTGGATCATTTGATACTCACATGTGCCTGGTATCTGTCCTAAGTAGAGCAGTCATTGCTCCTCACACCCTGACTCCAGCCTGTCTTTCTAGCCTCAGCTCCATTTCCATTCTTTTTTTTTTTTTTTAAGGAAGGCGCAGCTCACAGTGGCCCATGTGGGGATCGAACCGGCTACCTTGTTGTTATCAGCACCATGCTCTAACCAACTGAGCTATCCAGTCACTCCTCCATTTTCATCCTTGCCCTCCTCCATCCACACCAAAGATCTTGTGCTTCAGCAACCCAAAAGTATACCTTCCCAAGCAGATGTTCCCACATCTTTGCTCACACTGTTCCCTCTGCCTTTCCTCTTTCTACCAGGTGGTATCCTACAAAGCCCAACTCATCAAACCCGTGAGACATCCAGGAAGATTTCATCTGTTCTTGGAGTACATTGTTAACCCTTTTGTAACACATGCATTAAGGGCTATAATATTTAGTTACCTGTCTCATCAGGGAAACTGAGATTCCTTGAGGGCCAGGCTCTTGTCTGATTCATCCTGTGACCCAGCATGTAGCCCAGTGTCTGGGGCCAGGGATTCATTCCACCTAAATTAAATCTAATTTAACTTGTGCTTGATCCAAGATAACCGTGCTCCTGTTGCTTTCTCACTAGCCTGGTGTCACTATACATAAAAATATTTCTGGTTTGAGGGTGAATCACAGGAAGACCTGGTTGTTCAACAGTCAAATGCCCAGGGCAAACCCTCAAGGAACAGGCACACCCAGGGATCACACATCCAGGCATCTGGGTTTCAGTGACTTACCTGGAGTTTGTGTACAACACACATTATACTGAGGGTGATGTTTGGATTCACCACCTCAAAAAATTATCCACACAGAGCTCGCTCAAGAGTTTGAGCTCTGAGCAACAGCGGTTCGAGTCAGCCCTAGCTGAGCAGCCGTGAGCTGCCAACAGGTGGCGGGATGGCTCAGCTAAAAAAAAAAAAAAAAATTATCCACACCAATATTTATCAGGATGAAGTTTCTACCCCTTAACTCAGAAAATTAAGCCTTGACACTTAAGGCTGATTTAGAAAGCATTTCCTGTCTGGATTCTCTTTATTATGACCATTTCTGCATCTACATTTCCCTTTACCAGAAAAACATAGCTCTAGAGACTGTTCCTATTTCTCAAAGAAAAATGTGAGGTTTTGCTAAGTGACTGTGTTGACTCAAAGGGTGGAAAAAAGGAGGTAGAGGCAGGAGAAGGTCATTTAATGCTATTCATTTTTAAACAAAACTAGTACCTTCTTTATTCTAGCTGCTTAATTTAGATAAGACTCTGGACCACAGTAGCTTTCACTGTAAAATGGGAATAAAAATACATAGCCAACCAGAAGGGTCTCTTAGAGTCCCTTCCAGCTTCATGATTCTACAACTCCACTTTCACACCCAAAGATAGGAACCTAATATACTTCACATAGTCACTGAATCCAATGAGATACTAAGAGATACAAAATCAGAGGCTGAGAGCTAGATATTCCCAAAGCTGATTCTGATTTGCCTTGACACAAATCGCTTCTTTATCCTTCCATCAGCAAGAGGCCAATAAAGGAAGAAATTTTGGAGAAAAAAGGTTCTTAATTTGGAACACTAAAAGGCTAAGAATACTAGAGACCCCATAATTCTGATGTGAGAAGTGTTAAAGAAAAAATTATTCCGACATTCATTAAAATGGTAAAAAAAGATTTTATTTAAAACTGTTGCAAAGTCTAGATAGCAGACAGTTGTAAAGCAAAGACAGCAGAAGAAGCTGGGGGTTTTGCCAAAGAGCAGAGTGAGGGAGTGAGTGGATAGAAAATTACTAATAGGAGACTCCAAGGGTAGGGGGATTCTTGCTAATCTGACCTAAAAGGAATGTTGTTAATGGCAGATCAAAGATTTAGACATCAAAGGTGGGGGATGAAGAAGTTGATCAGAAGTCAAGGATGGGGGCTTTGCACTAACCTGACTTGGCAGGATTCTTGCTAAGGCGGGGCTGGGTAGGCAGAAGACAGGCCCAGTCCAGAAGAGGGCTCAGAGGAGCCTGACCAAAGTTTAGTCAAGAAGAGTCTTTGTCAGGAGTCAGTACAAACTTCTCATCACTCTGCCCCTTCCCATTTCATGAAAGAAACTAATATCAATAAAACATTTAAAATACCCCATAATCCCATTTTTGTCTGGGGAATAGGGAGCTGGAATAATTATGATTATGTTAACAGAAACTATTTGTAGGTGATGGGCTTACAAGCAATTTTTATATTTTGGAGACTTTCTATACTTTCCAAAAATTCTACAATAAAAAAGGCCTCAATAACTTTTGGTTTAAAAGAAGTTAAGGCAAGGGCCGGCCGAGTGGCGTGTTGGTTAGGAGTTGGCTTGGGACGCCAGCTCTGAGCAGCAGGGCCCTGGTTTGGATCCCACATGAGGGTCAGTGACGCTGCACCCTCTACAGCTAAGATGGTGAACAACAGCTTGACCTGGAGCTGGGCTGCCATGAGTGGCCAGCGCCGGTGTAGGCCGCAGTGGGGCTGGGCAGCAGTTGGCTTGCGCTTTCGTGAGCTGCCGTAAGCCACTGTGAGCGGAAGTCCAATGGCCCGCGAGCGACTGCCTCACCCGGGAAGAGCGCAATGATAATACCAACATGGGCCAGTGAAGTGATGTCCTCCACAACTAGACTGAAGGACAAAAGGACAGCAACTTGTCTGTTCCCCTTCCCCAATTCCCAGTGCTGTTCCTCTCCCCCAATTCCCCAATAAAGTCTTAAAAAAAGAAAAAAAAAGCTAAGGCAGCTGGCTCTCTTGCACTGGGACCACCTTGGCTTTCCAGAAAGCCAATAAGCTTTCTAATCAAAACGAAGAGACTCCATTACTCCACCTCTCCATTAAACACAGGGTCAGAAGGCAGATCTCAAAGCTGGAAAGAAATTACTTCCGGATTGAAAGCTGGAGCACTAGCTTGTCAAGAAGGCATGCAACCAAGTGCCCTGGAGCCAGGGCAAGTCAGCAAAATTCTTATTATTTGAAACATGGAAAATCAAATTAACTGTTTCCTGATACCACACCCCACCCCCACTCCCACCCCCCAAAAAAAAAGAAGAATAAAGTATGGATGCCTGAGGCAAGATGCCAAAAACCAGTTTCCAGATTTTTAAGGAGAAACCTTCAGTTTTATTATGGCAG